TTATACAGCAAAGTACACCTCTGGAATAGGTATCTCAAGAGCACAGAAACTTCAAATCCTATTCAAAATGTCAAATCAGTGACTATTTTACAGTAATTACAGGTTGCATTTCTTCTAAGATAATGAGTCAGTTAAATTATTGAGATTTTTTGGCTATCCTTTTGCCGTAGATTATTTCTAACTTAGCTAAGTTCAAGTTTTCATCTTTTACTGTACATAAGTGGAATTAAATACAGTTCCCTGCTTTGTGTGCCATTCTTTCAGATACTCGGATGTCAACGCTTAAATTGCTTTTATCTGCCATTTCCTGCAAATATAATTGTATTCAGGAGAGCTCCAAAGCTAAATTGCACAAGACGTGAGAAATAATGACTTTGCAACCCAGAACTGTGATACTCCAATTCACACAAATACAGCTGATCTAATACTATTTTAAAATGCTGTGTTTAAGGTAATGTGTTGGCTCGAGAGTCATTCTGCCAGCAATAGGAATGAATCTGTTAACACTCATGCAGTTCATTCTTTTTTGGGTTAAAGGTCAGGGATTTCAGTTATGTGACTGCACAGTTAAAGCAGCAGAGGAACTCGTGTTAACATTTTAATCTGGAAAGGATTTTCAAAACTGCAGTTTTAAAAGTAAAACAACAGAAAGTCCAACTGCTCTTACCCAAGACTGTCAGGGTCGAAAACCCGGTTGAGATCACAGTCAATGTATCTCGTGCACTTCTCCACAGCTCTGGGGTTGGTGAGAAATGGTTTCACTTCCATTCCAGGTCTTTGGATCTCAGCTCCGTTCTCTTGCCAGTGCCTGACCAGTAACACCCCCGATAACTCATTGCCATGAGTTCCCCCGAAGATACCGACCCGTCTCACCGGAGGCTCAGCAAGAGCAGAGGAGGAGGAGGAGGAAGTCATGCTTTTCAGCAGCTCTGACAATTGCTGAAGGCAAACCAGAGAATAATGGTAAAGTAAAACGTTTGCCTCCAAAAAGAAAAAAAAAAATTTCTTTTCAGTAGGAGACTCTTTAAGCCTGTTTAGGTCAGATGGGAAAGAAAGTGAATGAACATTTCTCTAAGAGTTCTCGACTCCCGTTTTGAGGTGGGAGTTGCCAACCTGACCCTCCTCCCTCCCAAGGAGCCTCCCCTCTGGTTTCCGTATTTAGTAACGTCTCCAAGGCTGCTCATGGTACTGTTACACAGTTCAAAAGTTAACTTCTCCAGGAAACCTCTAATAATATATACTATGTAGGTAAATCCTGTGCTAATGACAGTATAAAAGACTTTTTTAATGTAAACATTAATAGTGCACTTATATATCTCTGACATTTTTGCACTGCAAACTACGTGTAACAAGTATTCTCGTGTATGTTTGGTTGCATAAATATTACACTATACAAGGGCAGAATAATTTAAAGGGAGCAAATCGAGTAGAATAAGAACCATATCTTGGCTCTAGTCCTGCACAAAATGCTGAAACATCAAGTATTTTTATCTATAAAACCAAGAACAGCTGAGTTCCTCAAAGCATGTTGGGGCTTGTACGACCTTTTTCGTTTTAGAAATCTGAAGAACAGTGATTAGAAGGAACAGGAGCTGAAATTACAGTGCAATTTATCCATGACTGACTTACCAAGCGTTCCTGGCTCCAGTTCTATCTCAGGATCTGCTAACACAGACCTCTAACACACTGAAACAACTTTGCCAGGGACAACCCTCTAACTTCTGCAGTCTCTTACTAAAAAGGAAACAGATCTAGACCGCGATGGGACAATAGTTGTGTTCTTTCCCCCAAAAAAAACATAGTCAGCAACTTTTCTTCCATTTCCAAAAGCTTTCGAAAAGGCTTCTGAAACTTAAGCCAAAGAGCAGCTGTAACTTCCATCCTGAGGATCAAAGCATTTAGAATAAACGGTCTTAATAACAGAAAAATAAGTTTTAACTGCTGTCAGTGACAGAAGTATTTGCAATTAGTATCTGACACGCAATATAAACATTAAAAAATGTTACACTGCAAGGGAATAAAAAGTGTTTATTGAACAATTCCTTTTTATTAAGATTACACTCCAGTGACTGAGAGAGTGTTTGGCTAGTGCCTGGGAGAGGCTTTATAACCCAGGCTGACAGACTGTAGGTCTAGGAAAAGCTAAACAGGATTTATCTAGACAAGTTCTGCCAGGAATATATTTCCTACAAAAGTTCCTCTCTCTGTTTCAGTTTATGCATTCAGATTTGCTGAACCTTACAGCAAGTTAATACAGAGAGACTGTTTACTTAAACACTCAACTGTATTACTCCTGTACTTAGAAGCTGTCAGATATTTAATCAGAGTAAGTAATTTATTAAACAAAGTAGTAAAGTTGTATTTTACCGCTCTGGACAGTCTGTGCTGTCCTTTGACCCGTCTCTTCAGTGGTGGTGCCAAAATGACCATTGACACACTGCCCGAAAACACGATTCGTGATCTGTATCTGGGTTTGCTGCATTTAAACACGGCATCAGTTTGAGGAATAAATGGCAAAATGCAAATGTGCAGGGCTAGAACATATAGTTTGTCTTTTATTGCCGCTAGCACTGTAATGGTTATAATTCCTTCCAAAAAGCTGAATGAAACACAGAGATCGTCTGTGCGCTTACCTCATTTAACATGCAAGAAGTTTGTCTCCTGAGAGCAGCGTTCTTAGGACAGTGACAGTGAATTTCCAAACATGAGTTTAGGAACCAAAGCCCTGGAGGTTTCTTTTATCCCCTTAGAGCACTTACGGTCCAAACGCTTCAACTCCTGGTCTCCCAGGACAGGCCCCTGCCAATTTGGGGATAAATGTAAACACTTGGAACGTTTTAACTCTTCAGAAATAAACACTGGGACCAATCCCTTGTTCCCGTGCTTTGCCGATGTTTGCACTCTGAAAAATTATGTAGGATATTTAGTTTATTAAGAATTCAGATTGGCTTGATGTGCTACATACAGATGTGTGGTAGTGCATCTGAGAGCTTGGAGTGCAAGCCACAAGATGAAAAACGTATGTAATAATAACATGTAAATGAAACTAAGCCTAGCTATTAAGGTCATGAAGGTACGTGTATGTGTGTATATATATATAGTGTATAGAACTGCAATGTGGCTCTCCAGAGCCTTCCAAGGCTGAAGAAAAAGTATTACAAAACAGGCTCCAAGCATGCCAAGCACTAAGGTTTTACACAGTTGAAACCAGCCACGTGTAAAAGCCAGAACAGTGGTTGTAGAGGAAAACAACGTGAAACTGTGGATAATTTTATTTACATCCACGTCTGTGTTCACACGTTTGTGGGGATTCAGCTCCTGCCCCGTGTTCTCTTAGGCTGAGGCTGGACACCACCTGGGCCAGTTTACACGTGGTAATTAAGCCCCACCGAGGACTGATTTTTAATGATTTAATGGTTCCTGGGAGCCGCGCTCCTCGCCCCAGCCCGGGCCGGGGGGTTCCCTCAGCGGGGCTCCCGCAGCGCCTTCCCCGCCATTTTTCGCACCGCCGGAGGCGCGAGCGCGCGGCCGAGTGTCCCGTTATTTTTGGCGGGCTTCGCCTCAGGGCTGACCCTCACCCCCGTCCCTCAGTCCAGTCCCTCAGGGCTGACCCTCACCCCTGTCCCTCAGGGCTGACCCTCACCCCCGTCCTTCAGTCCAGTCCCTCAGGGCTGACCCTCACTCCACACCCTCAGGCTCCCCCCACGGCGTCAGAGCCCTCAGCCCGCGGCCGGCGCTGCCGCCTCCGTGTGAGGCACTGCCGAGGGTCGCCCTGCTCTGCCTGAGCTTACTGTTTTTCTACAGCGTTTTTCTCTGGGTTTTAGTTGCTTATCTTCAGAAGAGGCCAGAAAACAACACGCTCTAAGCTCCTGTGCGGTGCAAAAACTCTCTATAAACTGAAATGTAAAACTTAATGGGGTTTTATTTTACAAGTGTTTTACTGGGGGCCATTAGGTTTCATAGTGCTAGGAATATGCTTTAAATTGTATAACGACAATGGACTAGAGGCTGCTTTAATGTCATCGCACGTGTAATTGATGTATCTCACAGAAGTAAAGACTAAATTGATCTATTAGTCAGCTGTGGTAGAAGCTGCGCTTCATTCTTATTAACATCTTTAATAGCTGCGTATGGTTAACTGTCAGATCAAAATAAATGTAGAGGGAATGTCTTGTATTATTTATACATCTAAATATGCAGTATTATTCATATACCACTGAAGGCAATATGCACCAGTAGCTAAATCTGATAAAATAGAAAGTAAAGCTGCATACAGTCTCTGTAGTATCCTCAATGTGTACAGTAATACACAAAGATTACAAATAGATTAATCAAAAACCAAATATGGCAAAGTACCTATACCTAACATGCTAATATATATTTCTTCTGTTTGTAATATTTGGTTTATAGTAATGTCTTTTTGATTTGTGATGTATTTTATGTATGAGGGAATTGGCTAAAGGTTTTAGATCTGTACCATGAAGTGCAGAAAATAAGTTTATTTTTGAACCATAATGCTATTTTTCACATAATAATTAAACTGGTTTTCTCTTCAAAGCTTTGTACCTTGCCATCACCTTTGGCTGCAATGTATAAATACGCATTTTTTTATTAGTGTTCCATTTTCAGGAATTTTAAAACAAAAATCCTTGTATTTGGATATATGTGTACTTTTAAATTCAGGAGTGAATTCAATATTTTTTCAGCACTTAAAAAAAGTAGACAATACAACTTTTACTTCAAAAATATAATCATTTGGGCCTTTAATCTGCAAAAACCAGTTGCATGTTATGTATGTACCTGTGGATCTTCTAAATGCAGTACAGCTGCTTGTATGTTTTAGGCTTGTGTCTGAAGTGATGCCAGTCACTGGGTCTGCAGAGTTCACAGAAACTGCCAAAATCACATAAAATTTGGATGTGTTTACGGCATTAATTAGTTTACTTTGCTTATCTAACTTCCATACAGCAAATTTGGAGTAATCAATACATCGTTGTTAAGACTCAGCAAAGAAATGAAAAGGAGTTTTGGTGACACCTCAACTCGCAGCACAGCAGGTACTGGCCCTTGTTCTGTGCTTTACCATTCACACCTCGTTATCCTTTTATATATAAATATATTTTTTTATATATATACACACACATAACTATACATGCAGTGTGCACACAGGATGTTCAGAATTCAGCCCTAGATCCCCATTTCCTGAGTGGACTTCAACGGGTTACCTGTTTATTGCAGCACAGGGCAAGATTTTGGCTGGATTCAAGGAACTGGCCACTCAGGGAGAGGTTTCCTTCACCAGATTATGTGCAGGACAGAGGGCTGGGAATGTGAGTTCTGTGAGGGAATGGTCTGTTATGTGTTTATGAAATGTAATTCCTATGGGTGATGTAAAATAACTAAGTCATTTTATTTATTAAGTGTAGATTGTGTATCCTTTTGCTATTAATATGGTATTATTACTTGAATTTTAATTTTAGGTTGTCTGCCTGTACCGCTGTTCAATCAGAAAAAAAGAACTAGACAGCCCCTCACTTCAAATCCAATTAAAAATGAGCCAGGTGCCGGTTCTGGGACTCGTACATATGACTTCTCTCCCCCATCATTTGGTAAATAAGATATATTTTATTTTTTTTAGAGGCTCTAAATCAAATAAATCTTAACTTCCTGATTGTATTCTGAGTAATCAGACATTGTCTTTATCAAGAACTTTATGCACCCTTTATATCTATTTCTGAAAAGTTCATTATGTAAAAATTGTCCTCCAGGAAACTTCTTTCTCCTCCATACAATTGAGCTTTTTATACTTTGTGTCTAGAGGGAGTTTGACTCTTTGTGTGTTGGAGAATGAAGTAGCACTGGCATTTAAATCGAGTCTCTTGAAACCGACCTTTTGTTTTCAGTTGATTTCAATCAACATTCAAGTCCTGTGTTACAAGAAGAAACATTTGTAAGATGTCTTTCTTGTAGTCCAGAAAGGAACTTCTGTTCTTCAGTTTGGGCTTGGAAAGAACAGTGTAGAATTCTGCCTTTAGTGCTTTCATTATGGTCTACTTGTAATAAAGTTAAAAAGTTTCCTTATAATACAGTAAAAAAGTCTCTGTTGCTAACAAGTCTAATGTTTGTAAATGAACCGTTGTCTAGAGAAGCAACCTACTTGTTAGAAGTTGCCTTATAATTACAAATATCAAAGGATCCCATTCCCTTTTTTTTTTCCCACCTTCTCCTTCCTGTGTGAGCCTGTTTGTGGGACATTAAGCAGATATAGAGTAGGAGCCCTACATAATAGACCTATTACCTTTCAATCTTCTCTGTTTGTACCCATATTCAACCCTTTGCCTTTTGAAAATTAGGCTGGGGAACTGCAAACCCAGAAGTGGCTGAATTGCAGAAAGCAGCAAACAGTGGGTATGTAAAAGCAGGTTATTTGTTGCTTTTTGATTTTTATTTGGATACTAATTGTTTCACAAACTATGATCCAGGTGTCTTTCTTACAATAAAGCTGCTACTATGTCACTGATACTTTAAACTTATATTTGAAAGCCAAACAGAACATCAGGTGGCTCCTTCCCTCATAAAACCACCAAATGCATCAAAGTTTAATTTAGCAAATGCTGGAAAAAACTTGGCTGCCTGCAGGTTGGTGGAGTCTTTAATGTCTATTATTCTTCCTTTTTGTTCTCATGTGAAAATACATCTTACATTTTCCCATATTCCTGTAGCATTCAGAGAGACCCTTTTAATTCTCAAATCATCACTGTAGTCCTAAATAATTACAATGTGCTTATGAGTCAAACCCCACTGAAATGACATATCTTTCCAGTGTACCTAATGAAGCCTCTTAATTAGACCCAATATCAGGCCTATAATTCAGTCTTACCGTAAAAATTGATTGAATTTTGCTGGTAATTTTTTGAGATTTGCCTTTACTTGAAGTTTGGCCCACTTCCAACCCAAATTTATCAATAGACCCAAATAAGATTCCATCAGTTTATTTTATATAAAAACTTATAATTAAGACTGAACATAACTGTGCTTTTACAGATTCAGGAAAAGCTGACAGATTCTGATGCCTGGAGCTGGCAGGAAAACTTCCAGCAATGTTACAACTGTCCATTTGTTCCCTTCCTCCTGTTCCTTTCCAAGGGCAAAAAGAGAGTGAATGTTTCAAGCAAGACAAAATGGAACAGGAGGAATTTCTGAGCTGCCTTTATTAAAGAACTGTGTTAGAAATAATAATGTCAGCACTAGAGTTTGTTGTAAAATTATTTCCTCAGTGATGGTGGTAGAAGAATTTGGAAACATCACTCTCAGAAGAAACTTTGTTTATTTTACTTTAGACTTATGGAAAAAAATGTGAATCTTGGATCAGGAAAGATCCCTTGTACAGGGCAGGATAATAATTGAGTGAAGTTTTAAGGCCTGTTGAAGTCAGCTGGATTTATGCACAGGTGTGATCCCTGCATGTGGATTTATTTCAGTGTATACTCAAGTGCTCTAAGTCTGGATGTTTTTAAAGCTAAAGCAACAATACATAGATTACTTTTATATACCTTAATTACGTGTCTGAGTATTCAGAACAGATACTGTGATACTGAACTGTGTCTGATGTTGCATTGCAGGAACAGAAATGAGTATACTCTGAGCAACACAGCAGATTCAAGGTCTGAGAGTGGAATTACTCGAAAGTTTGGGAACCTTTCAAATAATTGGAAAACTGTCCAGCAGCAAAAACCCCCTGGTAACCGTAATTCATCTCAGCTCCTCAAAACAGAAACCAGCCAGACAAACACAGCTAAAGGACAGTGGCCAGTGAAACCTAACCCTGCATCAAGAAGTCTGCAGGGTCATAGTCCAGCATATAAATTTAACTACAACATTCAGCAAAATAAAATGAATGAAAACCAAATTGATTTTGTCCCAGAAGAAAAAAGTCAGGTAAAACTTATGGGGAGAGTTAATAGGAATATACAATGAAGAAAGCAGTAAAAAAAAAAAAAGAAAACTGATGAAAGATGAAGCTTTTGTCAGCCCAAGCTGTCTTAGTAAACACTTAAGTTTCTGAAAATTTAGAATTGAGATTTTCATACTATAATAACTACAAATCCTCAACATTATGTTATAAACTTGCAGGGAGTTGTTTGTATATTCTGAACAAATGCTCTAATGTAAATATTGGCTATTTAGCATAATATATAAATGTCTATGTGCCTTTCAAAATTATGAGTGTATATGTCTAACTTGAGCTTTTGTCCTCCTCTGAAAGGAAGTTCCATCATCTCAAATAAAAATCAGAGACAAAAGGAATTCTTTGCGAATCCTGTCTGCAGTCATTGAAAGTCTGAGGCACTGGAGTCAATATTCTTACAAAACTGCACTGTTATTTGAAGTCTTAGGTAAGCACAGTTGATTGGGCTATAACTGATGATAATGGTGGGGCACCAGTGAGAGAGAAATTTTATTCACTTTTGGCACAATAGCTGAAATACTTAAACCCACAAAATGTTGCTGTGAGCACCATCTAATTTTCCTTCTGGGAGATCCATTCAGCTATCAAAGGTGACTGAAATAGGTACAAAATTAATAATTCAGTCATCTTCCAGCATTTAAGCTTCTTCCATGCTGTTTATTTTCTTTCCTTGTTTTTAGAATGTGTTACAATCAATTTTCCTATTTTATAGGAACCTTCTGTAGAGAGGTACGGTTTGACAATAATTCTTAACACAATTAATGTAGGAATAGATTCAAGTCTGGGATGCTTCTAAATATAGGTACAGACTTTTAGTGCATCACACTTTGCATTTAATTGCTGTTGTCTGAGAAATGAACATGAAATGACTAAACTTTACAACAAGGTGAATAAGAATATACAATCTGTTGGCATCTCAGCTATTATTTTGACAAGACTGCAGATATTTAAGTTGATTTGCATGTGTTCCCACAGAAAGCTGATGCTGACTTGATATATCTCAGTGGTTTTGTGTAGTAAATGATGTTTGGTGTCTTGGGGTATCATTCTTAGTACTGCTCTTTGTTTACACCATGACTAATTTCTGTAAATGGCACAGGCACACTGGATTCTGCAGTCACACCTGGAGCTTATGGGGCAAAGAACTTTCTCCTGAGAGATGGAAAGGAGACCCTGCCTTGTGTGTTTTATGAAATTGTGAGTATTCTGTGTCTGTACATAACACAGGCTCCAATCCCTTTTATGAAGTTAATAATGTGTTGTTCTGACAAAGCAGAAATATTCTGTGTAAAAGGCAGGCTGGATGCTTATACCATATTGATCCCAAACTAGAGCAGTAATCCTGTCACTACTTAGGCATCCTTAGACTTCTGTTTCAGAAAAAAAGGTGGGACTTTCAGTTTAGCTTTTAGGTAGTTGATAATAACAAAAAAGCTGATGTAAATTCCTTCTGTTTGATGTTCTTCAGAATCCAGCCATGCAGACAGCTTTTGTGGTAGGTGACATAATTGTTTTATTTGTTTATTATGCTTTGATGAAGGACCGTGAGCTTCCAAGACTAATTAGAGGCCGAGTGCACAGGTGCATGGGAAACTATGATGCAAAAAGGAACATTTTCAAGTGCGTCTCTGTAAGACCAGCAACTGCTGCAGAACAGAACACTTTCCAAGACTTTGTGAAAATTGCAGATGCTGAGATGACAGCATATGTAAAAACAATGAATGAGATGTAGAAGTTGAAATGGTTTCTCTAATTTTCACTGATCATTACCCAGAAAGGCTGGACATGCTAAAATATTTCCCAAAGCTAACAGGGAGAATCTGGTTAAATAATTGGAAATATCACTGTGCTGTGTTAGCCAACAAATGTTAGTAACAATGTTTTGTTTTCACTATTACTTTCTTTAGCTCACCCAGTTAAATATGCAATAACAGGGTTTTGTTACATAGTACATTAGACTTTACTGAAGAAATTCTGAATTAAAATGCTAAATTTTGCAGTAGGGCAACTGTGTTAGAATTCAGATTTCCATTGCTTTTCATTATCTTCGATTTTGAGAAATTCCTTCAATACCTGTTTCAAAATGACTGTATAATTCTCTTGAGGAGTATTTGGTCATGGTTTAATAGGTAACAAACATCACAAAGTTCTCTGGGTAGAAAGTAAAAAGACAGTCTTTATTCTTCTTCAGTTCCAAATAACAGGTGCCCTTTCCTTTGCTGGATGACAAGAACACGTGTAAAAGCTTTGCTAGAAATGAACATAATAGGTACTACATAAAGATTCCACAGGATGCAGCTGTATCTGCCAGGTATTCCTTGGGTTCCCATTTATATGCTATTTGGTTTTTTTTTCTTTTTTTTTTAAACAAATAATCAGTTTAACACCTGTATAAAATAGCAACAGACCCTGAAGCTGTAGGAAGATTCTTCAAGGACACAGAGGAAGTTGAAAAGAAAGAATTATTTGAAGGCAGAACTTCCTCGCCTTTGCCATATAAACACCTTTCATGAGGGATGGACCATGTACATGTTTATGTGCCTTTTGCCTTCAGACATTGACTTTCACAGGTTATTCCTGCTGTTTCTATTTCCTTTTCCCCTACTTCAAAAGCTTTGTAGCAGATCTGTTGGGAGTTGTAAAACAAAAGACTTGTCAAGAAAATAGCAAACAGGATGGGGTTTTTTATTATTTTATTATACAGTGTTGGCAATTGGAAATTTCACATTTAAAATAATTGAAATATTGTATCCAACAAGTCAAATACAGAAAACAGTTAATATTCTAAAAAGGAGCCAGCTAGTCAACGCAGAAACACATTAATGGAAAATACAGCTTTTAGTTACACTTAAAAAATTATATATTTAGAATAAAACTTGAACCTGGTCCAGTAAATTGTTTGACTTGCAACAGGAAAACGCTTTTACACAGTTTAACGCGCAGACAGTCTTTGTTTAAAAAAGTGATCTGTCAGTGTCAGCACATGTATTGTCAGCAACAGCCCCCTCGTGTTCCAGTTGAGATCTAAGGTATGTGCTTTGCTAACTGCTGTAAGAATCACCTCCACCTTCTGTGCTAAGCTGGTTCTGAGCGTGGATGTGTCAAGGAGAGTTTTGTCTATCCACTGTGGTGGTCACATACACGTATCTGATTCCCTTCATGTATTATAAAATGTTAAAGTTGCACATGGAAGCATTAGCTTAACTCAGAAAAGGTGCAGAATATTACAGGATGATGTTCACAACAGAAGCTGAGGTTTAAGAAGTAAAGGATTTGGTACAGCAGTGTTGTGAATGGTAAGACTCTGCCATAACAGTATTTTAAAATTACAGAGGAAGCTTGAACTCTGGGACCAGGCCTGTTATCAACACCACCCCAGAGCTGTAGTCCCACTGATTCCAGTTGAATGATTGATGCTTCCAGTTCTGCACATTGAAAGTTACATTAATAAGTAATGGCAGGAATAGGTCGTTTGTGTCTACTGGGTATGTTATGGCTGTTAATAAAAATCTAAAATGATTTTTACTTTCAGTAAGTGTTTAGGTCTTTGCAAAAAAAAAGTTCCTACTTTACACTAACAAATCACTTTTTCTAGTGAAACATTAAGTGAACAGTTGTAAACATTACACAAAACAGAAAAAACCTACACAATACAGTTTATACACACTACTCAACATTTTTCAGTTGTTGGGTGGTTTTTTTTTTAACCATATTGATCCTGTCTTGTATAATGGTTCTAGTGTAAAGGCACAGGTTGGTTAGGAAAGAAAAGCCTGCATCTCTGTCTCTCTACTTCATGGTGATTATTTTCTTTTTGCATGTTGTTTGTTATTCCTCACTTTTCTGACTCTTGTATGAAAATTATCCGTTTCAGCCATTCATTAAAAAAAGTGTAAGACATTACTGAAAAGCACAGTACTGTACAGAAGTGACTGAAATTTATTCTTCTTACTTTAGGGCATTCCTTCAACCTATTTTGTTAAATATTTAGAAGATTTAATTTCCTAGTCCCTGTGAGCAGAAGTGCATAGCATGTGCTCTCTCTTTCTTGGTGTACTTCATTCTATGTTGGAATCTGTATTTTCAAAGATTAGTAATGGAACTCGATAAATTTGTGTGCAGAATTTGCTCTTAGAGTGCCTGGAAATGTAACAACAGGACAATTATTTTGGAAAAGAGCACAACTTTCCACTGAAGTTTAGAAGGGTGAGGGATGTAAACAAGACTGCAGAAGTCTTTGATGTATATTAAGATAACACAGTGATTGTTCCATCTGTTTGCATTTCCTTGTACATCCTCAACACGTCTCTGTCTGTCCCTTCACGTACACCTTCCGTTACAAACAATAAAAATTCAGGAATCAGTTGGACTCAGCTAAGTGAAGAACAATAAATTTGATCACCTGGTTTGTGCCAAAACACAAAACTAAGAAGTACATCTCTGAATTAAATATAATCTATGTGATTTTTCTTTTTTTAATAAATAATAGAAAATAAAAGATGAGAATAGAATTAGAATTCTATTTTTATTTAAAAGGAAAAACACAACAGGTGGGTGAGATTAGAACCCAATGTTTCTTTTGCTTAAGGCAATCAAGTGCACTTATTTCAATGCTTGATAGTAATGAATTCAGTGCTATTGTGGAAATCAGACCTCACAAAATTCCCATACAGACTAATGAAATATGGCCATTTGCTAGTTCTGACACAGCATCAGATTCTTATTAGTTGAGTTCAATAGCATTTCACTTCACTTTTGTCTTTTTACAGCAATGGACTCTTAATTGTAATGGAAATACTAGAATCTAGTTCATTCTGGCTTGGATTATCACTACATGTAAGGGCCATTGGGCACAGACAGTTTTGTAAACAGAGATTTTTGTTTTCAGCCTTAAAAAACAAACAGTACACCCCAAAATCTAAAGTCGTAATAGTTCAATGAATTTTGTAAAATTCCACTTAAAGTTATAATTTAAGAAACACCAAAACCGAATTCTTAGCATTTTTTACCCCTGTTGTTAAAACTATTAAATCATCATGAAGCCTTTGGAAGTAGTTAGATCTCTCAGAAAAGAAAAAATCTAAATTTTATGCAAGACTTCATGCAGAGGACTCTAAATCTTGGCAATTAGAGCAGTAGTAAAAAATGTGCCCACAATTTACTATATGTATATATAGAGACTAAAAAGAAACTTTTTTCTTGTATACAATTCTTTTTAGCTATCAAGCTTAATTTTAGGCCATGGCTACTAGCAGGTGCTTTTTTTCACTAATCAAAATAATTGTAACAAAATATCATAATCGATTTTAAAGTTACTGGGTTCATAAAAGTTTTGACGTTTAATAATATATCAAAAGTGAATTGAAGCTTTTAAGACTTACGATTTTGAGACACAAAAGAAACTGGGAGGTAGACAGATGTTTTGAGGATAAACTGATTTTTTTTTTTGTCTAAGGCATTATGCCACTATTTGTTTAGAGCAGTGTAAAGGCTGCTGATTAATCTTATTTCAATTCCAGAGTGTTCTCTGCTCATACTTACGGAAGACTATCAATGCACTTTTGGTCTTTGTGAATCTGACCTTCTCTTCCCCATCTCCTTTCCTCTCTTCAGCAACACAGCTAACGGGAAGTGCTATCATAATTTCTGCCCATTACCTGTAGACAGGAATGTTCTGTTCTTAAAACAGTAATAAAATACTATAAAATAGTAGGTATTGGAGTTGGAGATATGTGCTCTTTTGGTGCATATTTTGCAAAGAATGGTAAAAAGACAGACAACATGACCCCAACAATTGCCAGCATGTACCCCCACCCAATCTGGCAGTCTCCTGCATAGTAGATGTCTGAGTTCTCACAGAATCTCTTCACAGTAGCAGAGTTGAAACCAAAAGGGTAAACCAAAAGTCCAGAAGCCATAATGAACACTAGAGAGGAGAAAGAAAACACACAAATTATTATCAAATGTTAATTCCACTGGACAAAAAAAAAAATCCTTATCTTAGAAAGGCAAATATGTATTAAAATCAATGGGAAAAGTCATAGCTTAAAACACCCCTTATGACTGGCAGATTCTCTTCCTTTTCATAATTACCTCTTGTGCACAGCAGTGGTGGGACATGGCAGCAAGGTGGGATTTTTTCATGAGAGCTCTTGCCACTACACAACTTCAGAAACGCTCCAATCCAAATTATGAAGCCATGTCAAAAGTATGATGAATCAGATCTAATGGAATCCAGAGGAGAATTCCTATGTTTGCAGATTCCAAACCAGCTCCATTTTCTTCTCAACAGCATTTTTGTGCTTGAGACAAACAATTACTTTGTTCTGCCAAATAAAAACTTTCAGTGAAAGAGTTCAAATGTAGTTTTTCAGATTCTGCTCGTGAGGTTCTGGCAATGTGAGCACTTTCTCATTATTTGCATTAGTACAGACTCAAATTGTTTAAAAAATCCCAAAGACTGTGAGATAAAACCCAATACAATAACTTTTAGCAGTGGAGTCTCTCACTATAGGTTTTTGAATTCTCTCTGTAAACTTAAGGATCAGAAAAGTTTTCAACCTAAGGTTGAGACCTAAAATATTAAGACCTAAAGTTCTTATATTACCTAATTTTGACAGCTTGGGCTCCAAAAGCACCAAATAAATACAACAGGACATGCTGTAGAGGTCTAAAGGTTCAGTATGTAAAGGCACAGGGCTAAAGAAGGACATTTTTCCAAGTGAGGCATCTTTTACTCCTTCTAGCCAAAGAGGTCTAAAATACAAGTAAAGCTTAAGCCACCCCTTGATGTTGGAAAGCCAGACTTGCCTCCTGCAATTACCCTGCATTATCCATTAGCTTTTAATAGACCTTCACAGATTTTACAGTCTTTAATGAATATAACAGGCTACATTTAGAGATCATGGCTTACACAATTAATTTAAGGAACATGAGGACCACTTTTCCCATTTTAAAAGGCTTTCTGTTATGTACTGAAAAGATACCATGGAGCAGTCCCTTTTCCTGCCTTCCCCTTCTTCCAGGATATTGTCTGTTCAAATTCGGGGTAGTGATTCAAGAATAGCAGCAATCAGAAGTAACAGTTATGTTTGAGCTGATAGATAATTCATCACCAGCAAACATCTAATGAAACATTAGGATTATAAAACAAACACTACATGCTATTCTCTGTGTTTGTAATTGCCTTTCAGGTAGGGCACGTGCATATGACTCCAATTATAATATTGGAGAGGCTTAATCTTAAAAGTATCCACTAAAAACAGGCAATCACTCATTAATCTTTTTTAATTAAAAACCACTTTAATAAGCTTGAGGGCTGGATGAAGTCAAAAAGTTTAACACACTCAGCCTGTAAAGTCCCTGAATAATTTGAATTAAACCTTTCCTTCTAGTCTAAATGGAACTGCTGAGTTAATCCCTTATAGAAAACAGTAAGACAAAGAAAATGGAAGCTAAAAGGAGAGAAACTGGAGCAGCAGCAAACCTGCCAGTGTGTTTCCCTCTGGGTATCTCACTGAGGGGCACAAAGAGAAGCTCCTGCCAAGAAGTGGAGTTGTCAGAGCCAAGTGTTTCACCTGCCCTTGCTCCCACAAACACCCTCTTTCCTTTAAGCCTCATGAATAATTGTTCAGTGGTTGCTGTGGCCTTCCTCTCTTTCCAGGCACAAGGTGATGCTGCAGGAGCCAGTGAAGGGAAAAGTCCTTCCCAGCACAAGGAACATCCCCAGCACATCTCACACTCCCTGATCCTCAACCAGCTGCACCTGCTGGAGGTGCCCAGGACAGGAGGGAGCCCACAGACCTGGACACTGAGTTCTTGGCAGCTGTGTTTCTGCATCTAGGGTCTGACATTACCCACACATGCAGAAGCTGAAGCTAAATACAAAGAAGTAAGTTATATTATGCAGATCTCCTCTCACTACACACATATGACACCACTAAAAACAATATAAAATGAAAATATAGTAAAAATGGAGCTAAACTAGACACACATCTCTTGCAACAGGACAAGGGGTAAGAGCTCTAAATTAAAAGAGGGAAGATATAAGGAGGAGATATA